TGTGATGGAGGTGGGAGGCGGAGGGGGATGAGGTAGGAGGAGGTGGGAGGTGGGAGGTGGAGGAGGACGAGGGTTGCGGTGGCGGATGCAAGTGACACATCGTGGAGGTTGAGGAGGTAGAGGAGGTAAGAGGAGGAGGTAGGACTTGCAGATGGAAGCGGGAGGAATAGGCAGGAGGAGATAGGGGGAGGAGGAGGGACACGGTGGCGGAAGCAAGCAGGACATAGCGAAGGTTGGAGGAGGAGGAGGAGGGATGCAATGACAATATGCAAGCGGACAGCTATCCGGTAGCCGAGGTAAGAGGAGGTAGTAGGGGGAGGCAGGAGAGGTAGGAGGGGGAGGAGGACATAGGAGGTAAGAGGAGGAGGATGTAGGAGTGCAATCAGACTCGCCCTCATTCACACTTTTCACGCATGTAAACAGTAGCACAGCAAACTGGCGACATGCGCCCACACAAAACTCAGAGATATGGCATCCAGATACGAGTTCACTTTCAATTGGCTATGGCGACTCAGCGCCCAAACAACTCACTGTTCACATACACCGGATCACCCTGGATATCCCACACGCGACTCTCTGAACTCACACACACACACACACACACACTCGCTGCACACTAACTCTAGCTATGGCGGCTATGGCCGCAACTACCCTATCGCTATGCTACGCTCCTTCTCTCTCGCCCACTTCAGCTCCGGGCTCTCTGCAGACCTCCTTGCATAAGTCGTTGTGGCAGCGCTTCCGCATGGCTCACGCAGGAATGAATGAATGGCTGGGCGCTGCCTCTTGATTTATACTCCTGAAGCTCGTTGGTCTGCCCTTTGCCATCGGCCCATGGTGCTCACGGTCCCTTGTGGTACTTGCTGGACTGGACTGGCACTGACTGGACCTTACTGCTGACTGACTGGGGACTCACTGCTAACCTACCGAGGTCGTACTGCGATTGCACTGCAGTTAGTCCACCACTTCACTCGCCACTTGCCCACTTGCCCACTTGCTGACCTTCTAGAAGGACTACAGCTAAGACTTCTGGAACTCGCTAAGGCTTCTATTCTACAGGTCTACAGATCGAACCTCTGCTACCTACGGACCTATGACAGCCTACCAACTGCTTACGAATACACAGGTCACAGGTTCAACTCTCGGGGTCTACACAGGTACTGTACATAGGTAGGGCAAGGTCTAGGGATCATTCATACATCGCTGAAACGTCGCTGGCGCGTTAGTCAGTCCAAAGGGCATCACTATAAACTCGTAATGCCCATATCTAGTCCAGAACGCAGTCTTGTACTGGTCGTCAAGATGGACTTCTATCTGATGGTACCCGGACTTTAGATCTATCTTAGAAAAATACTTAAACCCTGCACCCGATCTAGAAGATCATCTATCCTGGGCAGCGGTTCAGCATTCTTCACGTTAATCGCATTCAAACCCCTGTAGTCTACACACATTCTCTGTTCTCCTTCCTTTTTGGGGACAAACAAAACTGGTACTCCAAAAGGAGATGAACTGGGCCTGATCCAACCTTTCTCTAGGAGCTCGTCCAATTGCTTGCGTAGCTCCTCTAACTCCCTCGGAGACATCCTGTAGACTGCTCCCTTAGGAGTCCTACTGCCAGGCTCTATCTCTATCCTGTGTTGGATGGGTCGCGGCACCACTCCTGTCGGTGACTCAGTCAAGCCTTTAAATTCCTCCAGCAGCTTGGCAATGGTTGGATCTGTGAAAATTACCTCTTCCTTAGCCTCAGTGATAGGTCTGGCATAAACTACAAAGACCTGGTCCTCCAATTGCTCCTTTTTCACTAGTCGCGCGAACGCGGGAGCACTAAGACAGCAATGTGCCAAGGTGTTGTCTACGCCTGACACATGAAACAGGCAGGCAGTCTTAACCTCGCCTGACGGACTAGGGAGCCTACACTCATGCTCTCTTAAGCGGAGTGTGGCCCTTGCTGCCTCTCCCCAATCCATTCCTAACACTATGTCGAAAGGAAGGTCATCCTGTACGAGGAGAGTCAGGGAATGGAGAACTTTCTCCACCTTCCCATCCTTCTCTAGGTGAAAGTACGCCTGGACTCCCTCTACGTAGTCCTCAACTCGCATTGTGCGGTTGTCTGTGAGGACACTGACTATGGGGTTTGCTAACTTTTGGACTTTCAATCCTAGCCTCAGCTTCCTCAGCGCTCTACAGCTAATATAAGTATCGGTAGCCCTTGAGTCTATAAGGGCCCCTACTCTGCTCCTGAAAACTTCTACGTCAACTAAGATTAGTTGTCCCTTACTCTCCTTCTTCATTTTGGCGTAGGCTGGCATCCTCTCCTTCAACTCTTCTGCCACACCTGTGAGGGACGTGCCTAGAGAGACGCTAACACAAGCAGTCTCTGGACAACTAGCTAGGCACGGGCCTGCAACCTCTGCCATAGGCCCATGTGGTTTGGGAGTTTCTTGTTCGCGCGCGCTCGCTGCCCCACATGGCCTTGAAGTAGGGGCAGTTGTGACCCCTACTGGCGGCTGCCTTTTGGCTCCTGAGCAGCCCAACGGGCCTGTCTGTACTGAGGACAAAATTTGATTACGTGGGCCGGATCACCACAAAACATGCACTAACCCAAGCTCACGCGTTCTTGCCATACGAGCTGGTCCAAGCCCAGGTCTTCCCAGGGCCTGCCTTGTGGCAAGCCTGGGTGCCATCCTCCTTGAGGTGACCTTCCACCTCGTCGTTGTGGGGACCGATAAGAACCTTGACGATTTGGCGGGGGACCTTGACCCCTACCTCCCACTTGGCGGTTCCCTTGTCCGCCAACCCCCTGTGCGCCTGGTCCTCGGCCTTCCATGGCCTGGCCCCTTTGGCCCTGGCCTCCTCCTCTACTTTGCGGCCTCCCGTCAACCGCGACAGCAGCATAGGACCTCCCTTGTCCCACGCTATTGTCCTCTTCCTCAAGGCCCCACTCAATCTGACTATATGGGACCTCATCTGTACCACCCTCCTCTAAGGTAAGGATCATGTGATCCTTGGCCCTCACTTGGCCTGAGATGGTACGACCTTTCCACTTTTTGCCCTTGTCTAAGGCCTTATGCCAGATAGTGGAAATTGGCATGGACTTGGCCTCAAACAGCACCACCTTTCTACTGAGTGCATCGTACGTCATGGCGGGCTGTTGGGACTTGTCAAAGAAGTGCCCACGCAGGGGCTCTGGCATGGCACGATAAAATAGTTGGACCAACTGGGACTCAGTCACCCCATGGTTCGGGACGGCCACCAGGTCGTCCATCACTGCCTTGAGTGCCTTGGCACTCCTCCACTGCCTTGAGTGGATGGTTTGGAGTTTGTCAGAGGCTCTAACGCCTCTGCGAAGATCAGCGAATCGCTCCCTAAGGAGCTTGAAGAATTGAGGGAGGGGGGTAACCTTGGAATAGGCGACCATGTTGTTTTCACAACCGGCCGCGCGCGCGAGAGACCTAGCAAAACTAGCCGCTTCGTCCTTGAGGGCCTGGAAGGCTACCAGGACCTGATCTTCCTGTACGATGTGTTGTAAGTAAACGTAATTGTTTACGCTAGCCTCCTAGTTATCGAAGTTCTCGTCAAATTTCCCACCATAAGCATCGGGGAACTTAAGTTTGACTGGTTTTTTGCGAGGTCTGGCCTCGCCATCAGCAGCGGCTACTACTTTGGCGCCCTCAATGGCACCCTCACAGAACTTCCCCACGTTGTCTCTCAACCGTCTGACTTCCCCTCCAACGTGGGTAACCATCTCGCACGCAAAATCCCGAAAACCGGACCTTCAGGGCTACCTCTTGAGCTCTATTGGCTTGGCGTTCCTCCATCCAAGCTGCGCTCAACACCTCGAGGTACCCCAACACCTTATCCCATTTGGCTGAGGTGTCTGTCTGAGCCTCCACCTCCTGCCTACAGTCCTTCACCTTCGCCACCTCTGCGGTCAACCTGTTAACGTCATCCCTCCTTCTCTTCTTTTCCCTCTTCATTCTCAATTTCCACTCCAACTTCTTTTCCTCCTCCCTTTCTTGCCTCTCCAAGGGGTCTTCCATTGCTGCCAGCTCACTTGCCAATGCATCCCTCTCGTCCTGGGGCACATAGAACTCTGCCTCCTCATCTTCCCCCAACCATAAGTTAGCTATCCACTCGCTAATCTTCTTCTCCGTCTCTGCGTCTTCATCCTTCTTCGTGCCACTACTCTCCTCTCTGCTTTCAATACGTTTTCTCTCTTTTTCCTCTTCTGCTGCTGCTTCCTCTTCGGCAACCTTTCTCCTCTCTCCCTCCTCCTGCTGAACTCTCTTTATCTCCTCCTCCAATTTCCTCATCTTCGCCGCCTGTTCCTGTGCGATGGCCTTTAGCTTCGCATGTTTCTGGAGTTCTTTCCTCTCTTTGTTCTCTCTCACTAAGGCGACCATCTTCTCTTGCTGTTCCTGGGTGTAGGGGCTAGTGCTCTTCCCACTTCGGGTGTTGACCATGGTGATCAGTGCACAACCGGATTAACGGTTCCAAACCTCACCACGTAGACTCTAACCCCTGACTGACAGACCTACTGACTCAATCTAAGAACTCATAGAATCCTGACAGGGATCCTGCCAACTAGGGTCTCTAGCCTAGACCTATACTATGGCTGTCACTACTAGACCTGTTGCTGATCAGGAGGCATTTAAGGAGATCCCCCGTAACTCCTCAGGAATTATTTAACGTCGCAGACAGGACGACGCGATCAGCAGGTCTCTCAACACTTAGACGGCCTGTTGTGCAGCCCACAACTCGGATTTTGGGCCTACCTTGCCACACCGAGCAGCCCGCCGGTCAGTACCGGTCCTTGGGAGGGTTCGTGTCCTCCGGGATAGTCGAGTCGTCAGACACAGTCTTTAGCCCTACTTAGTCTGTGTGGGTTTGGTCAACAAGGCCCTATCCTTCATCCACAGAGTACTATCACCTAGACAGAAGAGACTCGATGTAGAAAGAAGAGACAGATAGACTGGACTCAGCAAGTACCACAGGGTGTGTGCACATCCATAGGGCGAGGGATAGGTTGAAGGCTTGGCGAGAATTTACCGGGTCCAGCTTGGTCAAAGTCTTGGTCAACGCCTTGGTCAATGCCGGTCAATGCTGCGGTCAACTCCCGGTCAACCCCCGGTCAACTCCGGTCAACGCCGGTCAACGCCTCCGTTCAACTCCCCCGATCAACCCTTCGGACAGCTATGGCTTCCGGCTTCTCTTTCCCTCACCAACCTTCTTCTTCCCTTC